AATGGTCAATGCAGCTGGAGAAATGCCAGCACCCGGACATGGGCAGAACTTTCATTATGATGGCGCAGCCTGGACTATTGCTCAACATCAGCAACATATCGTGACGAGCGCTGCTCCACATGAATGCATCAACAACCCGCATCAGTGCACCGTTGGAGCGGAAGGCAGCACGCGCCAACCACACCAAATTTAAGCAGTGGACCTCCCAGCCTCGGGAAGCTAGCTGCAATATTTTAGCGAACCCAATGCCAAGCTCAATGGCGAGATTGTGAACCACCACGGGCAAAACACGTCGCCGCAATATCAAAAACCGTTCCGATGAAGCGCGGGCCCTGGAACAAGAAATCGCATTATTCCATGTTTCTGGCCGATCGAGCCGCGGCGTTTCTACGGGGAGCACACGAGCGAGCCAGAGAAAAACCATTGCCAACCTTGGATAGCCGCACTGCTGGGGAAGCAGCCAGTCAGGTCAACTCGAACAAGGGGTTGGGCATCGAGCACCTCTGCGACGCGCTCAAGTACATTCCCCCTGCAGGCATCGAGCAGCTGACGGACGTGCTTAACGCCTGGGAAGGACACGGCAGCTGGTCGTGGCTACTTCAGGTTACGATAACGGCAGCGTTGCGCAAAGGACCGCCCACGGACAGCATATCGGAATTGTATATGGTAGCATTCGGCTTTGGAGGCCAGCATTCAGCACGTCAGAAATGCTCCACCACTTGGGTCGAGCAGGTCGCTGGCAAGTGGGGCAACGCCATCAGAGGGTCGCCTTGCTTAAGAATGGGCTTGCTGAGGGACGTCATGGACGAGGCGATAGAAGCAGGACCTGCGCGCACTGGCTCAGCCTCGCGCGCGTGGGACATCGAGTCCTCCCACGACTCTCTGGAGTATGGGCGCCTGCTCGATCAGAGCCTGAAGAACGGATTTCCGCCGAGGGCCATATTGCTAGAAGGCCTGGCGCAGCTGCTGGCGCGCGTCTTTCGTGAAAGAGATAGCGCTTCAGAAGCAGTTCGCGCAGCGGAGATTATCATTGCTGGTGGTCACACAGGTGCGATTTCGGCAGATTGGAGACATAGCTACTATGGTATATCCCATGCTAGAGCTCATCTGCACGAAGTACATACCCGGTGTGGACGCGCCCCCTTGGACCGGCGCCATTACGCAATTCGCATATGGCCCAGGCAAGGTCTGAACACTAGCTTTGGTCAAAACAGGCTCAACGTTCGGTAGATTATATCACAGAGCTCACCCAACCCTGGCCGCATAAACTAAGACCATCCCGGTGGGAATCTACATGTCTAGAGAAGGCGCTCGTTGTTTGGCCCACCGTGACATACTTACCAAATTCTCAGCAAGCGACTGATCCTGGAACCAATCGAGGACGCAAGAGGAGAGCCCGACCTGAAGCAGCAGGTCGGCGCAACATGGCAACAAGTTAGACATGCAGAGCCAAACCATCAGGAGCAGCTCGCACATGTCGCAAAGCAACACACCGAATCATTCACCGAAACACGTTCGCCAAAATTCAATATGACGCGTCAATTGACGGAATGCCGCCATCCACGGTATTGGCGCGGAGCCGAACTCTCGGACGCACGCTGGATTCTTCGGTGCGGGGTAGGTGCTTGGACACTGTACTCCAGCTCGAACTTGGAGACCAAGATCCTTCTATTGCACAGGTCTGGCGTATGCTAAATAGTTGGCTGGCTACCCTAACCTCGGGACCTGAAGCACGTTCGTTTGCGAAGCTCACGTGGTATGCGCATGTGGCTAAAGCACGAACTTAACCTGCACATCGATGGCGGCGAGCTACTTTGCCCGCAAGGGCCATGATCAACACCCTGTTGGACCTCCTGTGGGATCCAAGAAGGCCTTGGGATTGGGTCTCTGATCAAGGTGACCAGTTCAGGGCCTCAAGTGTTCCGAGCATTTTGGGGGTTTTCGGCATCGCCGACCTATAACGGTAATAGCTAGCACACTTCACAAACATGTTTGGGCACGTGCAACCCGGCAGGAAGCAGGCGGGCATCGACATCAGATATAGCGCTAAGCTGATTCACCCAGCACGTGCGCGCGATCAATATCAGTAGACAGGTGCTGTGCTATGCGTAGCTGCTGGCGGTCAGTGGCCCCGCTAACGAATTTTAGTCGTTCGTAAACCAATTGATTACTCAGTCGTGTGCGATAAGTACCAGAGTGGACATACTGATACGATGTTTCATCGAATCTGGGAATTATCATGCGATGCTGAACTGGCACCTGTCAAAGCCACCGAGCAGTTAGCTCACCGAACGCAGCACGAGGCACAGCCAGCCGTTTGACTTCGAGGTGTCACGCCTGCTTCCTGGACTCAGGTCTCCGCGCCCCCGATTGAAGGCGACGCCTTCACGTTCGTGCACAGCCCGTTCCCGCGATCTGCTCGATGGATTGTAGGCGCCGGGGACGCGTCCGGAGGTAAGCACTCGGCGTCGCCGCGGTTTCAAAGAGTTTCTTGGTCGTAAGTTGTGTTCGACCCCTTCGATATCTGTTGCGCTGCCCCTAGCCTTGAACTTGGGCAGCAAGCTTGGGGAGCGGTATGGGAGGAGCAGGCCATTAGCCACGGAGAGCTCATCGGACTTCTGAAGTTCTAGAGGTGGCGCTCCTGAACAGCCACCTGATATATGTCACAGACAAATCATGTGTTGTCGATTCCTATGCCAAAGTGAGCTGCGATCGATACCAAACCGAATACAACAATGATTGGAAGAGAGTGCGAGAAGCTTCCCATCGTAGGCATTGCACGATGTTGAAAGTGTAATCTCACATGACTACCGAGCTCGCGGCTTCCAGAGGCGAGCGAGTTTTTGCGTTTGTTGGTGAGCTCCCGGTCGACGAAGTCGCCAAGCAAATTTCTGAACATATCCAGCTCGCCCCAGGAGAAACATGTTCAGGACGTGTTGTCGAGGCCTTAACTCGCTCCATTCGGGCTCGAGCGACCTCCGTTGCCCAGCCACGACGAGCTGATGAATCGGGTGCATCTCGTGCTGGGCACAAGGGCAAGGCGAAGGCCCGAGCTCAGACGAAGCCCAATCCAGCAGCCAAGCCCAGCCAGCCTACAATCAGCAGCATACTTCAGAAATCTGTCGAACATTCCGAAATTAAATCAGCCCTCAGCACCAGTTCCTACGGCCATCTGCAACGCTCGAACTGTCCGTCCGTCGTTACTGTTGATCCCCAAGAGGCCGCCCACGAGCTTCTCAGGGGACCGTGCGTGCCTGCTGTGTCAGTCCCCGGGTCCGCCGCGAAGTCAAGCAGGTGCGCAACCCGTCCCTCGGGACTCAGCGGGCTCACCCGAGCCGTGCAAACGGTGGTCACGCTTCGGACTGTTCTTGTTGGCGCGAGCTGCGGGTCCCGTGCGTCCCGCCGTTCCCAAAAGCTTCTCAAGGAGTGTGCACCGCCTACGGCTGCAGGCAGAGCCTTCCTTGATAGGCTCGCGAAGGGCGGAATCGAATCCCCGCGAAGGCCTCCCTCGGCCTGGAGGGCAGTGGTGATGCTCTTTGACAAGACCACTGGTAATCTTCGGGGTCCTCCTCATTCCTCTCCTCCTCCTCCTCCTCCTCCTACCCCTCCTCCTTATCCTCTTCATGCCCCACATCCTCATCCTCATCCTTATCATCCTCCTCTGTTATCCGTCCTCCGTCTATCTATCCTTCCTCTGCCTCTACCCCCCATGCACTTCCCCCCATGCCTCCAACCTCCCTCCTCCCTACCCCCCAAGGTCATAAGAGGCGCCTGTGACTTGGGTGAAGCGCTGCGCTGCGCTGCACTCTGGCCGCATGCGCTCGTATAAAAGTAAGGTCTGGCTCGTCGGGGAGCAGACTGAGGTCTCCGCGGAAGAGGACGGTGGAGGGGTGTACAGGACGGCCGCATGGCAGCTAGAGTTTTGGTGAACAATTAAGGGCTTCTGTCGGCCACGGAGGCGCAGCACGCAATTCCCAATCTAAAACTCGGTTAGCCGCTAACTACTGCTCAGGCTTCCAAAGAGCGCCGGCATGTACATACAAGTTGGACGTCGTGTACCCGCGTTCCCAGCTACTGTCTGACGAGGCTCTTTCTGAGAAGAGACCCTTGACCTGGTTGCAAAATTTACATGCGTAAGGTTCCCCTGGACGGTGGCGAGCGGGCGAGCGGCTCCGCAACCTCCTCATCATCCTTCCCCATCCCCCTCGTCATGATCACCACCACCATCATCATCATCATCATAATCATCATCATCATCATCATCATCATCATCATCATCATCATCATCATCAAGTTGGACGATATCGAGTTGGACGACCTGCAGGCGATCATCCAGCAGCACTGCGCAGCGGGGGGGAGGCTCAGAGTCCCCCGAGGCGCTGGCCCAGCTGCTGCGGGCGACACCACTGCCCCTGCAGGAACTAACGGCGACGGGTTCGGCGACGTCGGCGGCCGATCCGTTCCCTACAGCGGCGATGGCATCGACACAGGCTTCTTGTCTGCAGGCGAGCTTCTGGAGGCGGCGGCCGCCTCGCGGTTGGCCCTCGCAGCGGCCAGCTTCCTCCTCGGGGTCCCACTCGAGGCGCCCCAGGCCTTAGACGCTCAGATGCCCGATGAGGCAATTTGCTTGCCAGTTGTTGCCGCTCTTTATCAATAATTTGGCGCTCGACACGGCCGCGTCGGTCGGCGGCGCTTCACTCTCGTGCCGAGGGGGACCCGTCGCGAAGGCTTCGCACTCGCTGGGTTCTCTCTCTGCTGGCGCCCTCGGTAGGCCGTGCACTCAGCTCTGAGCGCTGGGGTGCATGGCGCACTGATGGAGCGACCAAGGTAGCTAGGCGCACGTGCGCCCGCCCGCTGGGGGGCCTTGGTGCCTTCACGGGATCTGCTCGTGTCGCAGGCGGGTCCAAGGATCACGAATGCCTGCGCCGAGCTGCTGCCTCTGGGGGGGAGGGACCCCGTGGCGTAGGCTGTACCCCGTGGGGCTCGGCACACGCCAGGGTTCACTCCCTCCCGCCCCTCTTGGGCAGCGTCTTACGCTCGGCGCCGTCCGCCGGCTCGCTGCAGAGCAGCCGCAGCGACGCGTCGGCGGGCCCTGGCGTTCTTGCACGGCCGTCTGATGGTCAGCCGCTCCGAGCGCCTTCGGCGCCTCCGTTTAATGTAGCCGCTGGCGCGCCTTGGGCGCGGCAGCCCGCGCAGCTTGCTGCGCTCCAGCCCGCTCTGTGCTCTGTGCCGCGCCAGGCGGAGGCCGAACCGTGGTGGTAGGCTGTGGCCGACCGTCAGGATCGCCTCCGAAAGCCACCTCAGAGCAAGTCGTCCCCGTCTGAGGCCTGGTGCCTAGGGGACTGTTGCTCTGGTGTGGCGCGCCGAGCTGTCTGCGAGCTGAGTCGCCGTGAGGGCTCGGATGCTTTGCTGACCGCCTGCCTTTGGCTGGGGCGGTCGGCGGCCTCAAGGCTTTCAGGCGATCTGCGAGTGTGCCTTGGGCACGGGTCAGGCCTTGCGTCCGCAGCGCCAGAGGGAAAGGCCATGGCTTCGGGAGGCTGTATCGAGCGGGGAGCTCCAGACCTTCTTGGATGCGTGGATCATCATCATCATCATCATCATCATCATCATCATCATCATCATCATCATCATCATCATCATCATCATCATCATCATCATCATCATCATTAACAGCAGCATCATCATCAGCAGCATCATCATCAGCATCAAACAATCAGCATCATCATCACCACCAATCATAATCGCCACCGTTATCAGCATCGGCATCATCAGCAGCATCCTCATCCATCATCAGCGTCATCATCCTCATCACCATCGTCACCATCATCATAAATAACACCAGCTACTGCACGACCCTGGTCGCGGCCCTCATCCTCATCATAATCATCATGATAATCATCATCCTCGTCATCGTCATCGTCACCATCATCAGCATCATCCTTCTTCTTCTCAATCGTCAAAACTGCATCCAGCATCATCATTACCACCATCATCACCACAGCCGCCATCATACTCATCATCACCACCACCATAACCATCATAATCGTAATTATCATTATCACCATCAGCATCAGCATCCTCCTCGTTATCATCACCATCACCAACAGCAGCATACCATCAACACCACAATCAACATCATCATCATCATCATCATCGTCATCACCATGATGATCACCATCATCACAATAATAATAAAAAGTGTCATCATCATAAACACTATCACAATCACAATCATCACCATCGGCATCAGTATCATCACCATCATCACCATCATGGTCATCAACATTGTCACCTTGTTCTCACTCAGCATCAGCATCATCATAGTCATCATCATCGTCACCATCATCATCATCAACATCACCATCATAAGCATCATCATCAGCAACACCATCGTCATGTCCTGCCCCTCCCTCCTTCGTTTCCTGCTCCATTCTCTCTCCTCCCTCCCTCCTATGCCCCATCCTCTAACCCTCCATCCCTCCCTCCTCTGCCCCATCCCCCCTCCCTCCCTCCCTCCTTCCCTTCCTGGTCCATCCTCTCTCCTACCTCATATTATCATTCCTCATCACTATCGCCACCACCATCATCAGCATCATCATCATCACCATCATCATCAGCAGCAGCATCATCGTCATCATCCGTATCAGCATCATCGTCATCATCATCAGCAGCATCATCAGCATCATCATCAGCATCAGCATCATCATAATCATCAAAACCATCATCATCGTCATCATCAGCAGCAGTATCATCAGCAGCAGCATCATCGTCACCATCCTTGTCAGCATCATCAGCATCATCAGCATGATCATCAGCAGCACCATCATCAGCATTATCATCATCATCATAATCATCATAACCATCATCATCATCATCGTCATCATCAGCAGCATCATCAGCAGCATCATCATCATAATCATCAGAATCATCATAATCATAAAACTCATCATCAGCATATCATCATCACAACTATCACCATCATCATCATCATCATCATCATCATCATCATCATCATCATCATCATCATCCGCAGCAACAGCATCATCACCACCATCGTCATCTCCTACCTTTTCTTCTCATCCATCCCCATCCTCGTCATCATCATCAGCAGTAGCATAATCAGCATCATCACAATCATCATCAGCATCAGCATCATCATCACCATCATCACCATCATCATCACTATCATCATCAGCAGCATTATCGCCACCATCAACATTACCATTGTCCTCATTATCATCACCATCATCAGCATCATCATCAACCGCATTATCATCGTCATCGTCGTCATCGTCATCGTCATCGTCATCATCATCATCATCATCATCATCATCATCATCATCATCATCATCATCATCATCATCATCATCCGCATTATCGCCATCATGCCTCATCCCTCATCCCCCATCCCTACATCCGTCATCCCTCATCCCTCACCATGTGTCCCCCATCGCCCTCCCTCCTTCCCTTCCTGTTCCATCCTCCCTCATCCCCCCTTCATCTGCCCCATCCCGCCTTCCTCCCCTCCCTCCCCCTGCTCCCCCCCTCGCTCCTAGGGCCGGGGCGGAGAGGGAGGCCGTTCGGAAACCGGGGCGCCCCAGGTCGGCGTCGGCCGCTCGGCACGCGGTCGACCAGGAGCCGGGGGAGCCGTGGTCGGCGTCGACGGCGGTGCGGAAGGAGCAGGGCGAGCCGTGGTCGGCGTCGGCCGCACGGGCGGCGCCCCATCTGACCTGCGCCGCCTCGGGGGCGCGCGCGCCAGAGCCAAGCGAGAACGGGGGAGGAGGAGGAGAGGAGGACGAGGAGGAAAGGAGGAGAGGGGGGTGGGAGAAGCAAGCCCCCGCCCCGAGCGCAATCCTCCTCCTTCTCCTCCTTCACCTCCTCCTCCTCCTCCTCCTTCTCCTCCTCTTCCTCCTCCTCCTACTCCTTTTCCTCCTTGTCCTCCTCCTCCTTCTCCTCCTCCTCCTCCTCTTCTTCCTCTTCCTCCTGTCCTCTTGTCCCCATCCCCCTTATCCTTCTGGTGTCCCACCCCTTTCCTTGTGGGCACCTTCCCCTAACTCACCAGCTGACGTGTCGCCAGGGCGGTCCGTGAGTTTCGCCTGGGACCTCCTCGCAGTTGAGGAGAATGAAGCTTGACATTTCTTCCGCAGCACAGATGAAGGATGGGGGGCGGCTGGCTTTCAAAATAGTCACTCGCCTGGGTGGTGCGCATTTTCGTTTGCACAAAAGGCACGAGTGACTTGAGTGACACGGACGAGGACGAATCCGCCACCGTGCCTGCACGAACTGGGTGGGGGGGGGCACGATCTCTCTCAAATGAGACCATGCGGGCCAATCTCTCCCGCCGACCGCGCAAATGTCAAACTTCGTGGACACCATCATCGCCATCGGCACGATCAGCACCGGCACCGTGATTGGCCTTGCCGTCGTGATCGCCGTCGTCACCAGCGTAGCTAAAATCATTACCGTGTCTGCCGTTGCCGACGTCGCTATGATACCGCGCCCGCCCGAGTCACTGACCCGCACTGAAGCGCCTGCGCGCCAGAGCGGCTGGGAATTTCCCGGCGGTCAGCGCCACCGCGGCCGCGTCGGTCGCACCAGACTAGCTGGCCGCTCTGCGCGCGAGCCTGCGCGCGCCAACACGACCACAGCGACGCGCCAGCCAGCGCCAAGCAGTCGCCGCAATCGCCGCCACACGGGTTTTACATACCAAGTTGCGGGTAGGTGGGTGGGATGATTGGGCGGGAAATAGGATTGGCAACTTCAGATTCGGCAGGGCGAAGTGCACCGCATAGGTTCTCCCTTCTAGCAGAGAATTGAGGTCCACAACCCTCTCGAAGCCAGATTTATCCGTGCCCCCGGGGGATACGCAACTTACACCGGATTGCGCCCCATCGTTCATTCGAAATGTGAACTCGCATCATCCCAGCCAAATTTTCCCACCCACCCACGCCCTCATCCACGTCAAATGCAATAATATGCGCGCACACTCGCTCACCATGAAAAATCAAATCTCATGAAGCTCGCGCAAAAGGAGACAACGTCCACCCGCGCACGCCGTCGAGCGCGCGTGCCCACATCTGTCAGACATCGATGGCTGTCGCAAGGATTCCAACATTGAGTGGCACCACCAACAACATAACCGCGTTGCAACGGGCGCGTTCAAGATTGTCTGCGCGAGATCTTGCGAATTCTTACGGGAACCATTCGTTGTCCAATATTTTCGTCGAGCGCAACTAGGCGGGACTCTCAAGCGCGCGCGCGTCGAAGACATTTGAACGCCCACTCGCGCGCTGGGGGGCGCGACCCCCGTCAAATCCTTCCACGCGGGCCGTTATCCCACCAGCGCGTGGGCGCCGTCGCCGACGTCGGCGCGATCGACGTCGGCGCCGCCATTGGTCTCGCCGTCGTCATCGCCGCCGTCGTCATCAGCTGCAATCATCGCCGCGCCCGCCGTTGCCGACGCCGCTACGACGCCGCGCCCGCCCGGCCCACCGACTCGCACTGAAGCGCCCGCGCGCCAGCACGGCCTGCGAGATGCGCTGGGAAGCCCCCAGCGGCCAGCGCCGCCGCGGCCGCGTCTGTCGCGCCAGACTAGCTGGCCGCTCTGCGCGCGAGCCCGCCCGCGCGCTAGCGCGGCTGCGGCGATGCGCCAGCCAGCGCCAAGCAGTCGCCGCAATCGCCGCCGCACGGGTAGACGGGCGGGGCGATTGCACGAGCAGCGGAGATGACTGCGCCAAGTTCGGCAGGGTGAATTGGGCCGCAAAGATTGCGGAACATATATTGTGCCAAAAAGTTTGCAGCGCGCCGATCGCACCGCAAACTTTGCGCCACATGCTCCACGCCGCATAGACTGCGCCACATGCATGGCACCACTTATATTCCAAATCGCACCGCCTAGATTGCACGGCGTAGAGCGCACAACTCAGCTTGCGCAGCATTGGTCGCGCCGCGCAGATTGCGCCACCCACGTTGTCCTGTCTAGAAAAGCAATGGGATCGACCCCCCCCCCGTGCCCCACCCCCCGCCCGCCCGCCCGCCCGCCCCCGCCCCCCCCGCCCCGCGCCCCGCCCCCGCCCCGGACTTAACGGCCAACCCCATCGCCCATCCTGCATGTCAGTTCATACCATCCCAGCGAAGCCGGTATCGACCCCCCCTTACCCTGCGGCAGAAATTTCACGCGCGCGTACTCGTCCATTCAGAATGGTACATTTCCAATAATCCCTTGCCCAAGAATTACCCTGTGACGTACCCAACCCATTTGTATCAATGGAAGCGAGGAGTTGGCCGAAACTTGCATGGACAATCAACTTGATGTGTAAGCAACTTGGGAGGCGTCACTGTGCTGGGCCCCGCAAGCAGGCGACAGTTTCACAGATCGCAGCCCCCCAGGGGTGGCGAGGTCTAGTTTGAATCTGCGTGTGGCGTCACTGTGGTGGGCCCCCAGCAGGCCGCGAAAGTGGCGACAGTTTCACAGATCGCAGCCCCCCAGGGACGGCGAGGTCCCATTTGAGTCCGCCGTGGGTACCCACTGTGCTGGCCCCCCCAGCAGGCCTCGACGGTGGCGACGGTTTCCCATATGGCAGCCCCCCAGGGATGGCGAGGTCCCATTTGAATCCGCCGTGGGTACCCACTGTGCTGGGCCCCCCAGCAGGCCTCGAAAGTGGCGACAGTTTCCCATATCGCAGCCCCCCAGGGATGGCGAGGTCCCATTTGAGTCCGCCGTGGGTACCCACTGTGCTGGGCACCCCAGCAGGCCGCGAAAGTGGCGACAGTTTCACAGATCGCAGCCCCCCAGGGATGACGAGGTCCCATTTGAGTCCGCCGTGTGTACCCACTGTGCTGGGCCCCCCAGCAGGCCTCGAAAGTGGCGACAGTTTCACAGATCGCAGCCCCCCAGGGATGACGAGGTCCCATTTGAATCCGCCGTGGGTACCCACTGTGGTGCCCCCCAGCAGGCTTCGAAAGTGGCGACAGTTTCACAGATCGCAGCCCCCCAGGGATGGCGAGGTCCCATTTGAGTCCGCCGTGGGTACCCACTGTGGTGCCCCCCCAGCAGGCCTCGAAAGTGGCGACAGTTTCACAGATCGCAGCCCCCCAGGGATGGCGAGGTCCCATGTGAGTCCGCCGTGTGTACCCACTGTGCTGGGCCCCCCAGCAGGCTCGAAAGTGGCGACAGTTTCACAGATCGCAGCCCCCCAGGGACGGCGAGGTCCCATGTGAGTCCGCCGTGGGTACCCACTGTGCTGGGCCCCCCAGCAGGCCTCGAAAGTGGCGACAGTTTCACAGATCGCAGCCCCCCAGGGATGGCGAGGTCAAATTTGAATCCGCCGTGTGTACCCACTGTGCTGGGCACCCCGGCAGGCCTCGAAAGTGGCGACAGTTTCACTTATCGCAGCCCCCCAGGGATGGCGAGGTCCCATTTGAGTCCGCCGTGGGTACCCACTGTGCTGGGCCCCCCAGCAGCCCTCGAAAGTGGCGAATTTTCGCAAATCGCAGCCCCCCAGGGATGGCGAGGTCAAATTTGAATCCGCCGTGTGTACCCACTGTGCTGGGCACCCCAGCAGGCCGCGAAAGTGGCGACAGTTTCACAGATCGCAGCCCCCCAGGGATGGCGAGGTCCAATTTGACTCCGCCGTGTGTGCCCACTGTGCTGGGCCCCCCAGCAGGCCTCGAAAGTGGCGACAGTTTCACAGATCGCAGCCCCCCAGGGATGGCGAGGTCAAATTTGAATCCGCCGTGTGAACCCTCTGTGCTGGGCCCCCCAGCAGCCCTCGAAAGTGGCGGCAGTTTCGCAGATCGCAGCCCCCCAGCTGGCACGCAGCGACGAGCGAGGCAAAAGGCAAGGGGGAAGGAGGCAGGAAGGAAGGGAGAAAGGAGACGCGCGAGCAGTGCTCTATTCAAAACGAGAACCCAACGCAGGAGGGGTGGGAAAAAGACGACATGCACATGCGCACGTCGTCGCGCGCGCATGCCGGAGTCGTTGCTCTGCTTGTGTTTTCCGCATTCTTATTTCCCGGAACTCAGGCGACCGGATGATTTTACCATCGAGCGCCCCAAAAACATGTAAAAAACAAGTTCTTTCGCAACGCAAGTTTTTTAATCACCCTGCGCTCGCGCTTTTGCAAAATCTTGAGGTGACCATCGGTTTTGTCTTCAACCGGTTCATCAAATTCTACCAAGCGTGCATCTCTCGCGCGCGCATGTCGAAACCGCCCGGACGCCCGCCGCGCGTGGTGTCGTAAGAGCGCCCCGCAACAAATGCGACGATGTGCACGCGCGCGCGTCGTCGCGCGCGCGCCGGATATTCTTCAAAAACCTGAGGTGCCGCAAGGGCGCCAACATCGAGTGCCCAGATAACACGTAAGAAACACATGCTCGCAACATCCAGATACAAACAAGTCTGCGCACGCGCGCTCTTGCGAAGATCAGGAGGAACCGTCGATTCACATAACATTCTACTAAACAGACCTCTCGCGCCGCACGTCGAAATCATCGGAATGCCCTTGCGCGCGCGCGCTGGGGGGAGGGGTGGGGGGCGCGATCCCTGTCTGATCGTGCCCTGCGGGCCACGCGCGCTCGTCGGCCGCGCGCTCGCGTCGAACTCCTCTCAGAACCTCCATCGCCGACGCGACGACATCGTCATCGTTGTCGGTGCGATCGGCGTCGGCGCCGCCATTGGTCTCGCCGTCCTCCTCGTCACTATCGCCAGCGTCATCGCTACTATTATCATCGCGCCTGCAGTTGTCGACGACGCCGCGGCACCGCGCCCGCCCTTGTCGACGACTTGCACTGAAGTGCTCGCTGGGGAGTGCCCACCACCGCCGCGTCGCCCACGCCAGACAAGCTGGCCGCTCTGCGCGCGAGCCAGCGCGCTAGCGCGGCCGCGTCGACGCGCGAGCCAGCGCCACGCAGCACTGGCAATCGCCGCCGCAAGGGTTTTGCAGACCCAGTCGCGGTTCGGTCGGCGGGGCGATTGCGCGAGCAGCGGGCTCGACAACTTCGCGCTCGGCAGGGTGAACCAGGTGAATCGCGCAGCGCATGTTGCGCCACATGGATTGCACCGCGAACGTTGTTCCACATAGACTGCATAACATATCGCGCAACGCACGTTGCGCCGCACGGGTTGCACCGCACGGGGCGCGCAACATAGAATGCAACGTCGATTGCGAGGCAAAGATCGCGCAACGTAGGTCGCGCAACATAGATTGCACTACATATTTTGCACCGCGCAGATCGCACCATATATATATATCCTCTCTCACGAGGACGGGCGCAAGCCGCCCCCGAGACCAAGACTATCGACTCTCCTGGGGATGACGTGATACGCATGCTCGCTATAGTACGCGCGTCTCCGCGGCACCGGGTGCCCGGGTCGTCGTCGGCGACACTGATCAAGACCGACTGGTCTGAGATCACTGTCGCCGGCGCGGTGCGCAGTGGTTCCAGGGGCGCAGTCTCAAGAAGCCGGAGTTCGCAGTGTAACTAGATCGGCCCCTTTTTTTTTCGCGCATCAAAAGTGAATGCCCGCAGGGGGAAGGGGCTCCTCAGCAGGCGCCTCCGCCGTCTGAGCGTCTCCGCCGGGAGCGGGGCCGTCCGTTGTCTCATCGAATTTCGACGGGGCCCTCGTCGAAACCAGCCATGGGTTTGGATGGCTTCAGACACTGTATTACCCGTGCGCACGTAGACCCAGTGAGCGCGCCAACGTCGAGGGCAGCGCGTTTCGACTCATCGTAGACCAGGGTGAAGCGGTCAGCGCAAGTGACAGCTGGCAGCCAGCAAATACCTGCAGCAAGACGGACTGTGACCACGTCTTCGGTCCTAGAAGTAGTTGCGAATCAGATACTGGAGCGCAAGATGTACCTTGGGCGATGGCTTGCTAGCGGTGGTCATTCGCAAGTCCCCTTGCTTAGTCGGTAAATATTCGCGGGCCCCCCATGCAGGTAGACTTGCAACGAATGCAAACACCGCGCGAAGTGCTGTGTTTTCCGAGCCAAGTTCTCGGGCAATGAGCACCTCCGCGCACGGGGTGCGACGTGCATCTGGATACTGAGCGGCTGCTTCGCGATTGCCGACCCGCGCGATAGCTCGACCCCTCTCAGGGCATATTTCGCGCGACTGGGCAGGGGTCGTTCCCGCCTCCCCAGTCATCCTCGATTGTGGTGGGTCGGAGGTGATCGCCGTTGCGATGACCCAAGATGACCTGCGTAGTTTTTGGATGCGAAAAAAACCGGGGACCTGGATCGATGAGATGGCGCGCGCTACACGGACGAAGCCACACTTGCAAGACCACGATAGGTCAATGCGCTACGGGACAACGAGATCCACGTGGCAGTTTTCGGAAATCCATTCAAATCACGCGCAACCACCCCGATCTCCTAACGCTCCCACGGCGCCAGGTGCAACGGTCGCCATGCATACGCGTAGGTGCGCAACGAGAAACCTGATGCAACTCAGCAGTGCACCTGCGCCCCCCAGTCGCTCTTTGTCGATGCAGTTCGCATTGCGAAATAGCTTTTGGAGTCGTCAATCGACCTCTTTAACGAATGGAAGCGCACTCCAATCTTCGTCACCAAAAGCGCTGGCTTTGATCTTGATGCCGAAGATCTCCCTCGCGAGCCGTCTGGCGCTATCGCCCGACCACCGCCGGGCGGCCTCGGGCGCCCAGCACGCGCGGACAACGTCCGAAAGGATCCGCCAGATCTTTCGAGGGATCTGCGAGTCTGTCGGCGTTTCGACGCTGATCTGGCATGCTGAGAGCGCGAGAGCTGCAAGGAATATCACAGGTCGAACAGAGTTGAACATGTTACGGTTCCGGGCGCATGCAGCTTCGCAGCGCCAGTCGAAGTGCCTGCCAACCCGCATCAACCAATGGCGGGAGGGCATTAACATCCGGCGGGAACGCCAGACCCACTGGTAGCACCTGAGGCACCCCAAGAGGCACCGCAGGTGCCAGCGAGTCCATCAGGAAGGCGGTCTGCACCTGCAAATAGGGATACTATGGCGCGCGGCCACGGCCTAGCGCCGACGAGACTCGCTGCGCTGAGAGCCATGATGTTACGCGCGGGGCTCACGCGGGCGGAGGACCAGCGGGGAGCTCCGATGACCACCTGCAAATCAGTGGTCGGCGTGGACGCATGCAGCGCGGAGAGACGCCGCCACTGGCGCCCGTGGCTGACGCTGCCGCGGAGATGCGCGTGCCCAAACTGCCCGACTGGACTTGTTTGGATGTTCGGGCTAGCTTGCAAAATCTCAGAAGCTTCTATATTTCCGTCGTCACCGAAAACTCAGGGCTATGCCTTCGGTGGCGCCATGCCAGGGAGCCTGGTCGCTTGAACGGAAAGTGCAGACGTGGCTATGCCTTCGGTGGCGCCGTGCAAAATCGCGACAGTGGCTTGTTCATGTCCATTTGTTGTAGCCTCAGTGTGCTCTCAAGTGTCCTCTTGAGTTCCCAGGGCCTGGGGCGACGCAATCGGGTGACCAGCCACGCTCCTGCGGCTACCGTCCCAATTGCACAGGGGCCGACGGCGGAGAGAGCAAGCGAGGACATGCCATTATATCTGCCCATAATTACACAATTGATATGGTTCAGGACCCTCCTGGCTGAGGTAGTTCAAAGGACTTCGTGCTTCGTGTGTGGCAATAGATTTGCGAGCCGGAACCCGGCCTACAATCATGTCTTGTATTCGTTTGCCTCGGGTGCCTGTCGGCAGCAGCTCTGTACCACCCTCAACCGTGATGTACCTGCTGGCCCGTTCTCCTGCAGGCTATGCGAGGCCCAAGTTTCTGACGAGTCCGCCCTCCACATCCATTCTCGTTCACACTTCGAGGACATGTCTCTTGTGTTTCCTGGCGATGGCGGAGATGGCAGAGCCTGCATGGGCCGCCCAGGGTGGCAAGCGCAATGGGGATGGCGCAGAGGAGAGAGAGAAGGGAGCGAAGGCGGCGGAGTTGCTCGAGAGTCTCGGGGTGGAGGCGGCCTCCAAACAAAAGGGGGTCAAAGGAGGAGCCCTGGCGGCGCTGCTGCTGGTGCCCACACGCCTCGCACTCACCAGCGCGCGAGATATGGCAGAGGTGAGTTGCGCCTGTTACACGTGCTTCATGGTGGCTGCGGGCGTCGGATTCGTGCAGCGTCTCCAGGATAAGGGCCGCAAATACGCGGAGGACTGCAAGGCGGACGGCAAAGATCATCGGCACGGCCCCTCCTGGCCGCAAGTGTTCAAAGCGTTTCTGAAGTGGGCTTGCACGGACGGGGCTACGACAATTCTAGCACCTACCAGGGCCCTTTTCGAAGACTACTGGAATACGATCATATTGGGGCCAGATGCTCTCCAGACGCTGCAGGTGCACTGCCGCCACTTCCGCATCAATGCTTGCTGGTACAGCAAGAGAAGCGCAGTCCAAGCCCGACCGATTCAAGTTCCAGATCATGCTCGGGGTGCAGCAGCAGGCGAACAACTTCAAGGATCACTCGCTCATCCGGATGGAAGCCATCACCCAGACAATCATCGCGGCGGGCACTCCAGAGGCCAAGACGTACTACCTGCCAGGCAGCCCCCCCGAGGGGGGGGCCGGAACGAGAGGCGGCGAAGCTGATCCAGAAGCTGTGGCTCGAGGATCTTCCAGACAAGGAGGGGGAGACGAAGGACGGGGACTGAGGGCTGCTCGTGCCCGCCTGACGGCCATCAACGGCAGCACTCGTGCTGCCGAAGTGTACATCCAGGGCCACCTTCAGGACGATACCTTCCTCTCCCTCCAGGCCCGGACCTCCACACCCATCCTCAGGTACACCCTGGGTGCCCTGGATGTTTGTGTTTCTCAATTCCCCCCCCCCCCAATTCACGCTTTGCTGGACGCCGAACGGGTGCGGGCCTTCTCCGAAGCCCCGCGTAGGCTGCGGTTCTGGGGGGGGACCGCCTCTCTGGGTCCTCCAGGCCCTCCGACGTTTGGGCCGCCCCTCGTCGGGACTCCTAGTCGGCCGTCAAGTGGTGGAGTGCATAGGCGAGCCCCCAAGGCGTCCCCAATCGGGGGCCTCGCTTTTGCCAAAGGTCTCCCCTTGCAGGGCCCCACAGATTATCAAGCCCCTTACATGGTTCTCGAACGCCTGGTCCGTCATCTTCCTGTTTTCGGTTGCCCTGGCTGCGTCCGTAGTTCGAGGTACCACATCGGACCGTTGGTCAGCTCCTCCTCCTCCTCCTCCTCCTCCTCCTCCTCCTCCTCCTCCTCCTCCTCCTCCCCCTTTCCTTGCCTGCCTGCATGCATCTGCATTTGTCCCCTTCATCCCCCCTCGTTCCTTCCTTCCTTCCTCCTTCTTTCTTTTGTCCTTCCTTCCTTCACACCTCATTCCACTCCACAAATTCCCCGTCCTCGTCCGACGACGACGACGAAAACGAACCGTCGGCAAGGGGGCGGGGAGAGGGACGGCGGCCTCCCGGGAGAGGCCCAGCTCCATCCGATTCGTCTCGGGCACGCGGGCAGCCCCCTCCTGGCGGCGCCGAAAGCAGTCGGGGTCCTCGCCATCGTCGTGGGGGCGGGCGCCATCGTCGCCGCCATTGGATGAGGAAGCGAACGAGGAGTCGGAGGAGGAGGAGGAGGATAAGGAGGGGGAGGGGGAGGAGGAGGAGGAGGAGGAGGAGGAGGAGGAGGAGGAGGAGGAGGAGGAGGAGGAGGAGGAGGTAGGGGAGGAGGAGGAGGAGGAGGAGGAGGAGGAGGAGGAGGAGGAGGAGGAGGAGGAGGAGGAGGAGGAGGAGGAGGAGGAGGAGACGAGCGTACCGAGAAGGCTCCATCCCACCTACGCCTGCCCCCCAGCCCCAACAGGCGACGGGCGGGAGCGGCAGGCGCTCCTGGCCTGATCGCCTCGCAGTCCAGCGTGACGGCGGAGTGGGCGCCGCGGCCAGAGGGCCGAAGGCGCGGCAACACACATCGGGCTCGATGGGACGAGGGAGTAGGAGAGGAGCAGGCATCAGCAACAGCAGAGCTCAGGAGCGAAGGACCAGAGGGGGAGGAGACATCCACCACACGGCGGGTGGAGAAAATACGTCTACACGGCATGGTCCGAGTGGGACTCGAAAGAATCGGGGCGCGAGGAGGGAGGGGGACGGGCGAAAGCAAATGGGCACGATGGAGCGGGGGAACGATACAGAAAACGCAAGACTCATTGTGGGGCGATCTGAGGGCGCCCCCAACTCCTGAACCGCCCGACGGCGAAACCCACGAGGAGCACGCCACTCAAGAAGACGTGACAATCAACGAAGACGGACACGAAGAACCAGAGGGGGTAGCCATCATCGGTGTCGACTAAGGCGTCGAAATCGGAGCTCCCGCAGCAATCGAAGACGCCAGGGCAAGAGGTCCGCACGCTGCTATCGCCGTCGATGGACTGACGCCAGAAACTTCAGTACGTGGCGACGTGTTGCCCGAACACGACAACGGGACTTGCGATCTAACGCCAGGGGCCAGACGATCGTCATCGAGGCATCCGCAAAGCGGCGACGGCGAGCCCGAACACGACAATGGGACTTGCATTCTAATGCCTGCCGTGGGAGACGCCACGGGGAATCCAGCAGGAGAAGGCGACGGTGAGCCCGAACACGACAACGGGACTTGCGATCTAACGCCAGTGCAAGCGCCCGACGAAGAAAGCGACTTGCCTCCAGCAGGTGGCGACAGTGAGCCCGACGCCAACGACGGGACTTGCGTTCTAACTGAGGAAGTCTGGGTAGGAGATGGAACAAGACGCTGATCCCTGCAAGGTTCTGGATGAGGCAATCTGAGGGTGCCCCCAACTCCTGGTCCACACGGCGACGAAATCGCCGGAGAGCACGCAATCGGAGCTGACAAGCAGATCGGCGAAGACGAACCCACAGCCTCACCTCCCCCAGGGCCTTCAGCAGGAACAGGAAAGGGCCGGCCGTCGCGAGGTGCACCACTGTCAGAATCCGAGGAGCTGGAGTCGGAAGTCGCGCTGGAGTCGGCCGTCGATGAAATACTGTGGCAGCGCGCGGAGCCTCTCGGCGGTGGGCTCCATTTCAGCACCAGCTGCGCGGGGTGCGAGAGACGGAGAGATCGCACAGCAGCCGCTGCCAGCGAGGAAAAGGTTCTTGGGACAACGCTACCACCACGCTCCCTGGACATGTTAAAGATCTGGTAAGCCACAACCATTTCCTCGAACCTTTCGGGCTTGGGCTCCATGAGGCCCAAACGTGCAGGGAGCGAGGAAAGGAGATCCCGACCAAGTGCTCGACCCGTGGCGTGGCGGAGCCGCGGGCACACAAGGTAGTGCGCCAGCCGATCAGGTCGGCTGCAGCCGAAGCGACAACGCAGCAGGCCGTCGGGGTGTACGATGCGGGCTGAGGTCCAGCCAGCCTTTGGTCGAAATCCTGATTACTGCCATGGCCCAGCTCTGCGGGAGAAGGCGCATGAGCTCGAGGATCTTCTCCCAGTGGACGCGATTCAGGAGGGGCTCGGAGTCGCACAGAACTCTGTTCAGGTAACGCACGATGGTACGGCTCAGCGCGCGTTCCTCTGCGAGAGGGCCCGACAGAGTGGCGGCGAGAGGAGGAGGAGGAGGAGGAGGAGGAGGAGGAGGAGGAGGAGGAGGAGGAGGAGGAGGGAACGAGGGGAGGGAGGGAGGAGGCGAGCAGAAGTGTGAAGAGCAGGGAGGCAGGAAGAGAGCGGTGGAGGAGGAGGAGGAGGAAGAGGGGATCAGGGCATGAGGGCCAAGAGGAGAAAGATCGGTGAAGAAAACGAGGAGGAGGACGAAGATGCGGAGGAGATGATGTGTCAACCGTGCTTCAAGGACGTACCCAACGACAGCCCGATTATGAAAAGGACGTGACATCCGTCCGTGTACGTGTTGCCGAATTGCAGAGATCGAATGAAACATGCGGAAATCTCACATGAGAGCTCTGTTGTGAAGATGGGCCACCCTGTATCCGTACAGTATGGGACTTTGGGTCTACGCTGCCGTTGCCCTGATGATGGCGGAGGCCTCGCCAAGTGTCTGCACGATTGTGATCGTACCTGTCGCAAGCCTTACATCCAGCCTGGGCTGGCTGGAGAACCACCTCCTGTGCCCTGGGACCGGGATAGGGGAGATGGGCATGTTTTTTCCTATCTCGAAGCCTAGGTCACATGTTGGACGCACAACCTCTTTTAAGCGCGAATGTCCACACAACCTCGATCACTTCATCCAGAGCAACCGATTCACCCGTGAAGGAAGAAATCGGATCACTGGAAAAAAATCCTGCTATCAGAATCGAGGTCGTCACTGCAAAGCCCCGCACACAACCGCCTCGATGCACCAAGCGGTTGCTGAGCAAGTCCCAGCGCGCGCCACCGTCCGTGTGCACCAGGAAGCTCGCATTCGCAAGGTCTTCGGTGGAAATGCGGCCAGATTGAAACCAAGACCTCTGGCTTTCCATTGTATGATAAATCGAGCAATCGCCTCGACCGTTCCACGCCCGGTGCTGCCAGCAGACCATGTCGTCGATGTCCCGAGCCGGACGCGAATCGGATTGGAACATGCTGAAGATGTTGCGGGTGATGCCTTCGAACATGAGAGCCAAACTAGGGTACGAAAGCACCGTCTCCCCATTGATCACGCCTGCCAAAGGCTTACAGTCTGTAACAGAGACGATGGGCTGCGTCGGCCCCCCCCCCACACCAAATATCACGAGCACCGCCGCCATGACAGCCCGGCAATTGATCCAAATGATGGGTGGCGACTCTTCTCCCCTTGAGCCTGGTATGGGTCATGTCGTTCACGGGCGTCTCAGCATCTGCACTGTACTTGAACAGCCCCCACAAATCGCAAAGGTGACGTCGAAATTAAGAAGCATGCCATCCACTCCGATTCCTTGGTGCAGTGGTCTTGCTTGCACCGCCAGTCAATGCCGAAAAGAGTCACGAACGCATCTTGCAACTCGATGCGATGGCCGTACCCGTCTTGCACCAAGCCTAGTTTCAATTGTTTGCGTTCGCTGCCAAATTCTTGCACCGATTCCCACCCCTGCCGTGCGCGAAAATTCCGACTGAAACATAAATAAGTTGACCCATTATGTGAACATGAATGCTTCTCTCGTCAAGAACCTTCAAACACATTCATCAAACATACGACTCTGCAGTGGCCAGACCCGCAGTGATTGAAACTGACGCTCCGAAAATCTAGCGCTGCTGATCATAAACTTTACGTGGCCTTCTCCCGGTTTGCGTCGCAATCTGAGTATGCGCCGTAAACTCCAACCGCTTCACTTGCAAGAGATGGAACGATTCGGGCCCGACTCGCAGCGGGAGCGGAAAGAGGACGATGATAATGTTCCCTGTTGCCGCCAGCTTTGGAGGCGGAAGGGATGAGGTCGCGGAGAGCCTGAAGGCGGCAATACTGGTCGTACTGGCCTCAAGCTACCACCGTTTACGACGGCTTCATGCGCGGCCGGTACTGGGGGAGGCGAACGCATTCGACGTTTGCGTGCGTTCTCTTGCGAGACAAAGTCGTGACAAGAGAGCACCATGAGCCACACAAGCAGGCCAGAACACCTGCATCCAGCGCAGAAAGACCATCGGACTTGGATCCGTGAGCTATAATATAGAGGACGTGTCCCGCCATGGAGATTGCAGCGGCTCAACGTAAACGTCATCCTCATCCGCCATGTCCTCCTCCTTGCCCGCCTCATCCTCCTCGCCCTCTTCATACTCCTGCTCCTGCTCATGCTCCTCCTCTTCCTCCTCCATTCCTTTTCCCTATAATAAACAACTTCTCCGTGTCGCACGCCGAAACTAATTTTTAGGGCGGGCCAGGCGTTTCGCCTGAGACTTCCTTACCACGTAGAACCCTGAAGCCGAGAAGTTGGCAACAGTTTCACACATGGAGGGCGGGCCGTTTTCAAAATGTGGCTCTCGCCTTAGCGCCGCGCACATTCGATTTAACAAATTGCAAGAGCTTCACGGATTGAGGGTGGGTCATTGTCAACATGTGGCTCTACCTTAGCGCCGCGCACGTCTATTCAAAACATTCGCAAGAGCTTCACGGATTGAGGGCGGGCCGTTTTCAAAATGTAGCTCTCGCCCAAGCGCCGCGTACATTCGTTTAAACAATTGCACGAGCTTCGCGGATTTAGGGCGGGTGGTTTCAAAATGTGCCTCTCGCCTAAGCGCCGCGTACATCCGTCTTAAAATTCATACGAGTTTCACGGGGTCCCATGGTCAACGTACCAGACATGGCTTGTTGGCAGGATTCAGGATTATGGAGGTGCAACAGTTACGCTGATTCGCGGTGCTGGAGTCCCAGGAATGGCGTTCTGGCGCGCAACAACCAGGTTGATCCGTGGTGTCGGAATCTCGAGAACAATGTTTCGGCATGTTTCAGGATCTTCAAACGGTTGTCTTCCAACGAGGAAGTTCCCTCAGTGGACATGATCTTTGTAGGGGCCTGTGAAGAGGGAACTTGGAGGGAGGGTGTATTCCAACATAGTTGATGACTCTTGGGTTTACACTGGTCCTTTTCCTTCTCCTCGTTCCCCTCTCCCCTATCCGCCTCATCCTGGTCCTTCCCCCTCCCCCTCCAAACTTGCACAATACGAATACTACTTTCCTCTTTCCCCTGACACTTGACACTGTCCGGAGAGAGTCCCGTCCTCTCCGCATGTTTTTTACACTACGGATTTCATGAGCTGGTTTTCCAATGTGTTTTGCCCATCCAGTCGTCTCTGGTTCTTCCAAAATGGTGTTCCCGCTGCAGCGCCGCCCTCATTTCCGAGCTTCGGTCATTCAAAATCGTGCTCCCGCTGCAGCGCTGGCCTCGTTCCCGCGCCTCCGGACGGCACTTGGAATTCGAAAACGCCCACATCGGACAAGCACGGTTGCTGAGGACGTGGAGCCGGCATTCTGGATGGGCCGTCCCCTCGTAGACGGGCCACTTACCCTCCAAGTCATCCAGTGCCATGCCACGGCATACAATGCGGTGCTGTGCTGTGCACCACTGTGCGATGCCATGCTTTGCGATGCATGCTTTGTGATGTAATGCTTCACTACGCAGCGCCACGCCATGCTATGACATGCTATGACATGCTTTGCTATGCCGTGCTCTTCTACGCCATGGGTTTCCATCCATCGCGTACCCTCTTGGGATCATTGCCCTGCTCGACATTCGACTGTGCCATGGTAAGGGATGGGAGGGAGGGGTAGGACGTCAGATGTGAAGCTAGCGCACCTGGTTTGTCCTCCCCTCCTCCTCCTCCTCCTCCTTCTCCTCCTTTTCCTCCTCCCCCTCATCCCCCTCCCCGTCCTCCTCATCCTATCCTCTTCCTCCTGCCCACCTCCCCCCTTCTCCCCTCCTCTCCACCGGAGGCGGCAGCTCTGGCAGCGGCGGCGCCGTCCGAAGGGGAGTCGCAAGCAGCTGCGGCCAGGGCGCCCAGCTCGGACAGGCCGTCCTGGCCACAATCGTACGCACGCCGAACATGGGGGGGCGTCGTTCCTGCTGCTGCTCCTCCTCATCGCCCTCCACGTCCTTCTGGCACCTGGCACCTCGTGGCATGAAAATGATCCTGAGCGTTGCCTCCCCCCTATCAGGGCTGGTCGGCCCTGAGGAGGATTGATCAAACTAGGGCCAGGTGACCCTTGGAGCACCTCTCCAGGGGCCAAGGGGCCACCTGCACGCGCGCATTTTACGTGAAAGACACAAATGACAGGAAGGACAGACAAAAAAGACGCGGGGGAGGGGAGGAGGAGAGGGGAGTCATGAAGATGTAAAGCGGAGGAAATGGGAAGGCGGGACTAACGCATTGTGTGGCAGCAGTCAGGCGCATGTAGTGCCCCGTCCACCTCCACAACCTCCCCCCAGTCAACGTGAACAGCAATGGCGTTGGCGGCGAAAGATTCAAAAGTACGCTGATAGGCTGTCCGACCTTGTTGTGCTTTTGTCGTTGTTCTGCGGTGCGATGTAAGGCGAGGTGGCACCTACGCATAGCGGGTTGGAGCTGTCACCCGAGAGGGCGAGGGATGCGGCGCAGAGCAGAAGAGGCGGAAATGCAGCTGGAGACGGCGGCGCGAGGCGTGGAACGGAGAAGGCGAGGAAGACGATGACAAAGAGGAGGAGCGCTATGGCGGGGCTGGCGCTGTGCGCAGCAGGCGGCGTTGCGCATGTAGGCCCCGCCCCTCCAAAGGATACCCCCCCGTGCTGAGCAGCAGTGGCCGTGGCGGCGGAAGATAGGAAAGTACGCGGCTCGGGCTTCAATCCCCTGCTGTGCCTCTGCCGCTGTGCTGGGCGCGATGCGAGGCGAGGTGGACGGAGCCTGCATATGGTGGCCAGCAAGCGCCACTCGAGAGGGTGAGGGCGACTGCGAAAAACAGTAGAAACGGATGTGCGAATGGGCAAGGCGACGGGAGGTGCGGTAGTGCAGAGGCGTGGCGGCGGCGGCCCCGCGGCCACTTGCGCCAAAGTGGGAAGGCCCAAGGGCCTCTCCCTCTGCTCAGAGGAATCCCTCACAGGCGTCCCCGAGGCCAACGGCGGGATACCTCGCCTGCGAGCAGGCGTAGGGTTCCCAGCGCGTGGACCTCGGAGCCGCCTGGGGAGGGTTCCACCGAGAGCGAGGGAGATGGGGGGCCTTCCTGGCGGTGGCAGGGCGCCACGCTCGCTTAGAGCTTGTGGCCAGCCGCTCACGCCAAGTGGACAGGCATAAAGGCCTCCCCCCCCGCACACAGGAATCCCCCGAAGCGACTCCCACCCCGCGGCTGACACCCTCCCCTGCAGAGCAGGAACAGGGTGCCGTTTGGGGGGTATCCACCGTGAGCGGGGGAGGTGTATGCCTTCCGTGGCGGTGGCGCGGTGAATGTTGCCGAAGCCCCTCCCACCCCTCCGTGGTATACCCATCACTCGCATTTTGTTTGCGCGGGCAACCCGCGGCTGCTGCTGGATGGTGCTACGCGAAAGTGGTACTCAAGAGTGCGGGAAGCTGGGTTCAGAGGCAGATGCTGCATTTGGCTCGAGTGGCAAGGTAGCGCGATGCTGCCGGCTGCGCTGCAGCCGCGGCGGCCCTGGCCCTTGCCGGGGCGGCCAGCGGCGAGTCCGCGCCCGCCCCCTACCCAGGTACATGCGAAGACGATCCGACCGAGCAGGGAGCGAGCGAAGGTTGGTGGCTGGTGGAAGCCCTCATTGCGCGCATCACTGGTCATCACCCGCTGGCGGAATGCCCCGCAAGGGCCCAAGTGTGACGAGCGTCGCTCAATGCAACATTTGCTGGTACGAAAACCCTTTCGGGGAACCGCAACACCATGTACTACTCTTACCGATCTCACCGTGATCTGCGACGCTAATCTGGCAATCTGAATTTATAATGCCGCCGATGTAGAGGCAGGTCGCCCGCTGTCCTCAAACTGCCGCTGGAGAGAAGGATTGGCGCCAATTTCCACCAGCTGTGCCGCTACCGATGACGTCGGCGCGTACGTTGTGGCGAAAGGATATTGTCGAGATGGGGCAATGCATGGAGCAGCCATTGCGATGTCATGTTTATGTTGCAGCAAGACAGGTCAACGCTGAGCTGTGAGGTAGGCGTTGCACTGATGGGCCGCCGTTCGCGCGGCCCCATCCCGACGCCAGCGCCTCGTGGTTGTCGGTGATCAGGGGGAGGTCGCCTGATTCACCGTGGACTTGCTGTCGAGTTGGTCGAATTGGCTCGCGACGTCGCACGGCGGCCATGGCTGCCGTTTTTTGTCTGCTTCGGTCGTCGCGCCCGCCTCGGCGTTGTCAACCTGCTGGTCTTGCTGTCCCGCTGGGTCTTCTTGACCTTCCCCATGCGGTTGTGTCGTTGGTGTCCGCAAGTTCCCAGGTTGGCTGGGGTCGATGGGGTAGTTGGTTGGCGTTCTGTCGCTGTGGTCGGTGATCAAGGAGCGGAGGTCTATCCTGCTGGTGGTCATTGTGGGTCAGTGTTAGCCGGGCATCTGCCCACGGGTTGCGGGGTCGCGGAGGGTCGGGCACCTCATCCGCGGTTGGCTGGGCGCGCTGCTCTCTCCAGGTTGCGACAACTGGTTTTACTGAGGGAGACGCCGGACTGGACGAAAAACTGTTTTAACAATTTTAACGCCGGCTGCGCCGCACTGGCCCCGTGACAGTTGCAGCACCCAATGGCGCTGTGTGTGCAACCCCACACGGTCCAACCGACCATTCATATGAAAAGGCAGCACACAACGACAACAGTAAGGACAGTGCACAGTACAACAAAGAAGCAAGCAACCCGCACGGCGACGCGGCTGATAGAAAATATGCCCGGATTTCTATCGCGCGGGAGGCGGGAGCAAGAATGCGAGCGGAAGAGCGAGGGGGAGGGCGGAGGGGAAGGGGCAAGGGCACAGTGCGGGAAACCCCTGTGGCCACCAGCGGCCAGTTATATAAAATCCCAAAACGCACAGCGCAGCCAAAAGGAGAGGAGGAACAGGAGGAGGCCCCGCCAAGGAGGGGGCGTAAGGGAGAGTGGCTCACACCGTCGCCACCCCATGGTGTCGCACTCCGGCACCAATGTCAAGACCTCCCTGTCCATTTTGGTGCTACGACTGATGATGACCGTCGGAACCACGTCAAGTATTTCAGGTAGCCGTCCTCGTACCAGAGCGGAGGCTGCAGGGTGACGGACACGGGTAGTGGTACTGGTGCGCCGTGGGCCCAACAGCGCAACTCCCTGCACGCAGGTCGCGCATTGAATTCAGTCGCTGGTGAGCTGGAGTCGGTGGGGAGCTGGAGTCGGCGGCCATTGTTGTAGCTGGGGCTGTAATCGGGCATAAAGCAGGCGCCAGAAGGAGCAGAGTCGGAGGCGGCGCAGGCGTCGGGGCAGGAGTCGGAGCTGGAGTGGAGGTGCGCATGCACGGCCCGCATTGTGGAAGTGGACGGGGCGCGGGTTGTGGAGGTTATGGCGGCGGTGGTGGCGGCAAGGGGGAGTGGTGGTCATGGTGGCGGCGTTGTTGGCGGTAGGGGCAGCTGGAGTGGTACCAGTCCTGCTGCTCGGGGTTTGGTGTCGGTGCCGGCGTCGGTGTAGGAACTTGCGTTGGCGCAGGCATAGGCGCAGCCGTGGATGCTGGCGTCGGTGCTGGCGCGGGCGCCAACGCGTGCGCCAAAGTCGAACTCCAGTGACAGCCCTCAGTGATGCAACAAAGTGTGGCTGTTTTCCCCTGCTTGGACAGCGCTGCGGGGATCCACAGGTGTAGGATGAGAGCGAAGGGGGTGAGGCTAATGGAGAACAGATCAGGGGGGCGAGATTTGTCTGCCGTTTCTCGCCCTCATCGCCACTGGGTCCTGGCGTCGTGTCGGAGCTGGCGTCGGGGTGGCGTGCCAGTGCTGGCGGCGGTCTCGAGCAAGGGGCCAGCGTCGCGCCTGCTTTTGAGGAATGCCCGCCCATCTTCATACGTCGGTGACGGGGCCGGGGTCCTCGGCGAAAGCGTCGGTGCTGGCGACGGTGCTGGCTTAGGCGCCAGCGTCGGTGTCAGCGACGAGGGCGGTGACGGCGTCGGTGCTGTCGACAGTGCGGGCGTCGGCGCCGGCGTCGATGCTGGGCTTGGTGCCGACTTTGGTGTCGGCGTCGGTGCTGGCGACAGTGCTGGCGTTGGGCCTGGCGGTGGTGACTGTGGTGCGACCTGTGGCGACAAGGTGACCTGAGTGGCGGCAAAGTTGTATACGAAAATCGTGGGAGGGCACGATTTGTCCGCTCCCATTTGTCTCCATTGCCGTTGGGCCATGGCTGCGTCGCACGCGCATGCCTGCAGTTGGGGATGATGCTGCATGCGGTGGCGTACAACATGTTGCAAGTGTAGTTGATTTAGTTTCCGCCAGTGCTTAGGGGAGTATGTGTTTAGGTTTGCCAGTCGCAGTTCTTCGCTCATCAACGTCGTGGTGGTGACGAAGCTGGTGTCGACGTCTGCGCCGACGGTAGTGTCGAATGTATGTGCCGCGCGATGTTCCCGCACAAACGAAACCAACAGGATCAACGATAACGACGGAGCTGGTGGTGGCGCTGGTATCGATAGTGTTTAGGCTGGATGTCGTCAGCTGTGGGTGGGTGGTGGGGGTCGGACAAAGTCGATTTCGTCAGGCACTCGACGATGCTGAGGTCGATGTTGGAGTCGCGCTGCCCACCAGGGCACGGAGTTGGAGCTTCTGTAGGCGTTGGTGGTGGGATTGGAGGTGGAATCGGAGATGGAGAGCGAGCGCCGGATGTTGTTGGCGTCGGTGCTGGGCTGGGCTTTGGAGTTGGTGTCGGCGTAGGCGCCGGCATTGAGGTTGGCGCAGGGGCTGTCGTCGGAGTGGAGGCGCTGGTGCTGCTGCGCTGCGCTGCTGGTCCCAATCATGGGAGTCCCACTGGCGTACTGGCCTACCCGCGATTTCGGGGGGGCCGGCCCATCCGCTATCGTACGGCGGAGGGGGTACTTAGAGGTTGCTCGATGGCGT